TTGCAAAATTTATATGACACTGATCATTTAAATAAAGCATTATAGTTTGCTGAGATGAACTAGACAAGTCAACATGTACTAAAAAACTTGCTGATTTATTAATATGTATTGGAATAATGTTATTTGTTACAATACCTGTGACTACAGCCAGTGCTGAAAGATCATTTTTGAAACCAAAATTAATAATGACCTATTTGAGAAACTCTATGGAACAAAACAAGATACGTTACTTGGCCTATTGAAAATTATATGGCACGATCTTTAAACTTTTATGATGTTATTGATACTTTTGCGGAACAGAAAGCTCGGAGAACTTAAATTTATTGATAAATATATTGTTAACTTTTTTTTCAAATGCTTATTAGTTGGGAAAGGGATCGAAAAATCTTCGTAGACGAGCAATTTAGTTTTTGCCAACGTATCGTTTCGGACTTTACTAAATCTATCTTCAGGGCTCCATAATAAAATAATTTTATAAGGAAACAGTATACATACCAATACATATTGCAAATTAATACAGTTTTAAATAAACTCATATTTTGTTTAGAATAAAGAAAACCCAAACAGGTGGACTTACCACCACACAAGAGAAAACAAGCACAGTTTTGACTTTGTAAATCCTAATATTTTAGATGCTCAACTTTCATTAGGTAAACGACTGTTTACTGAGATGATCCACAGTTTCAAACAAAAAAGTGTTAACACTAGNGAGGTGGAACTAAAAGGACAATAGGTCAATCCAAGAAATGAAATGATTGGGATGGTTTTTAACTAAAGAATAACATTTTTATGAAAGAGATGAGATTCACGTAAAGGAACTACATTTATAGAAATTCACAGCTTAATTTTTAATGTTTAATATAATAAAGGAAACCGGCAGTATCACTTTTCCTGGTGGTAATCGCGACAGTCAGCTTCATAAACATGCTCAATGCATTTGACCGTTGTAGTTTAAAATCTGTTTTTCCGTTAATCAGCTGTCGCACCCCTACGAACGACAACTCTCAGAAGTCGAAATTTGTGCAAGCTGAGGACTAACGAGGTCTTACCTTTTAACGTGTGATTTCTAACACGGGTTGGACGATAGCAAGTGAAAATCGATCGTTCAGCCTGGAGCTTGAACCACCGACCAACACGGAGGTCGATTTGAGTGAGTGAACAAAGTACCCACGTCGAACCGACCGGCTACCGACAATTTGGCAAATGAACCGTCGACCTCTACAGTCACAAACATTTAACTGGCGAGATTTCAATTTTTGTTGACAAAAAACCTCAATATTTCAGTTTCAATCATTAGTATCGAGCTTTAAAAATTTTGTGTGGCAGTTTTGAATTCCAATATATATATATAAATTGAAAAGGGTTATATTTTCAAGAGAGATTACACATATCCCTCTCTCAATATGAACAAGATTTCTATGACGGGAATTGAATCGAATATGCGAATGAATGTGATTACCTACGTACTATTATCGTAATAACAGTAGATTCAACTCATCCGTAACATGAAGTCGTAATGTTGTGAATGAGTTGAGTGTTTCATCTTGTATTGAAAAATGAGAAATGAAACTTTCCAAGTTTTTTACCACTTTTATTCGTAACTAACGTTACTGCAGTTTCGTCGTATAAGGACATTGTCAAACCTATACATTAGTTTAACGTTATTTACAAATGAAACAGTTTCATTTCTCATTTTTCATGATGATTTTCTACCACGAAGTAACGGCTAAATCCATCAATTCATCTTGTAATGTTTTTAGATTGGTGCTGAAGAGGCAATAAGTGTCTTATTCCGAAACACCAATGTCCTCCATTGAGAATGACATTGTATTGATGACGACGGTGTTTGGTTGTGTATCGAGTTATATTTTCCTGTTCAATGGGTATCATATTAGAATTATAATACTGTTTATCTTCAATTTAATTAAATTTTCGGTTTGTTGAGGAGATTTTTATTCATTTGTTTACAAACTCTACTGACCATGGCCCAGTTACAGAGTAGGAAAGGTAAATATCACAATATATTTCTAAAACTAGTAAGATTTTGAAGAAGATATCAGTTATTTTTTACATTATTATAGGGATTGCACATAGCATTTAATGGGGCATTTGATAATAATTTGTTATATGTTATAAGGGACACTCAAAATAATATCAGTAAGTAACCTCATTTTGAGTTGTAATTTTACACCTTAGAGGATAAAGGATTACTGTAAAAGTACAATTTTGACCGAGTATACGTCATTTTAACGTATGTAAGTGTTCTGGTAAAGCTTTTTACATTATTTTTTCCTTTAGGCCTTTTCTTTTGTTTGGTATATAAGAATTGATAAGAATAAAACAGTGTATTTCATTTATGAAAATAATGGAACTTAGGTACTACAGATATATTAGGTGGAAGAGGGGTAATTTTCCTCAAAAGTTATATATGAAATATACGGGTGGATTTATGCACCAGTCTTAATTAAGCCTTTTGTTTTGAGTTTTGAGCCTTGAGAATTCAATAAACCCGAAAAATAGCTTTGACACAGTTGATCTTGAGAATTAATGTTTTTCATTTATTACTACTGAAAACTTCACACTCATAAACTCAGATATTATGGTTATAAACGATAACTTAATAAGGAAATCAAGATTTTTAATACTGCTCATTGAAACAAACGAAAGCATAGGTGACAACAGAAAAACAACAGAGAATATGGGAAGGTTGTCTCAACTGAATATCGTGACAGAAGTTTGTGACCTAAAAGTTACAACATCCAATTAAAATTCAAATTCAAGAGATAAATAAATTTGTAGTGGATTTAAATAATAAAGATAGTGCCAATGTAATGCTTATTGACGTAACAATATAATTATTACGAAATTTAGATTAAAATTGAGAGGAGGTATATTTTTAGCAGTGTTTTTATGGTTGTTTTCCTTGTTTTCCTTCTTCCTATGGAAATTTCTCTAATTCTTTACAATGCAAATAAGATTCCCATGGCTGGGATTAAATCAAATAAGTGTATGGCATGTCATTACGTACTGTCATCTTGACGAGTAGATTTAACTCATCAACATCGGGTGTCCATCAGTGACAGTGACCCATGTAAATGGAATTTTATCTCTTTCTAATTGTGCTCGACATTGTGTAGCCATTCTGTGAATGATATCTGATTCAATTCCATAACTGATATTTGGAGTACGAACTGAATATAAAGTGTTTTTGTATAATTCAATGTTCATTTGAAAGTAGTTGTTTCGAAAATATTCTTTTTTCGTGTGTATATGAAAATGTATATGAAAATAGATGTTTCGAGAGGGTTTTTTCTTCCAGTTTGTGCCTGAAAGTAACTTCTATGCATGATGAGTTATTTTGAAATCGATAGCTTTCTTCTTTCCTTTGGAAGTTTTTAAATTTTTTTTGTGTATAGATGGAGAAGTAGAAAGTGAAAATCCTTTTTTCTCAAATATTGGAAGCTGTTCTTGTAGGTAGAATTTTAAAACGATACTGTGTCATATTAAAAGAATCTAATGGAACCTCTGACGAGGAATGAATCCAAGAGAAGCACCGCTTTCAAACACCAGAACTACAACACTTTTCTTGACGCGCGTTTCACCAACCAAGTTGGTGTCATCAGTCTACTGCATCTACTGAACTACTTACCTGGCTGACAACATTGAAAATCTCTCATGCTATTCGAAAAAAATGTCTATGGAATCATTACTTCCATTTGAATTCAATATCACGTAGAAATTAAATATGCAGATATGTTAATATAATACAGGGTCCTGCAACAGTGGCGCGGTGTTCCATATATCTCTATTTAGGAAACAGATAGGAATGTAAATTTCTATATTAACTTTAGGCATGGGGCGATATTTTTGGACAAAAACTATGCATCAAATGAAGAAATAACACGGTGTTCTATTTAGAGAATAAATATGTTATAAACATAACATATATCTCGATCACAGCCGTCACATATGGCTTTCACTGAAAAAAAATCATTGATATTATGGCGATAAAAATAGAAAGTTTTCATTTTTAGAAAAAAAAAAATTAAGAAAAACTATACGAAACGCTATAATGTACAAATTGATTTCGCTTTGAAAGAAGTCTTTCATCGAGTTTATGGCGTAGAAATAGGAAGAACGACAACTTTTCGAAAAAAAATGCTTATTTAGGAAAAACTACTGAACTTAGCCATAGGGAATACCTAATAAAATTTGTAGAGGTCGTTGGCGCTCCTTATGGATCAATAATATACAGGGTGTTCCATTTAAAATAAGGAAAATTCTGCAAATTTTTATTTACAATTATGTGGCAAGCGGTTTTTCATACCCTGTATATCACAGGTCGATTTCAGATATATCGTTTGAGAGAGTTATCAATTTAGAATATTTGACCAAAAAAAAATTCAATTGGACTTTATAATATCAAATATTCTGAGTGACGAATATTGAGAAAAAAACCTGTCATGCTAGATATCTCGAAAAACGTCAATATTTTCGAAGTGAAGATATACATAAAGTGTCTTTTATTTTCTATGTAGAAACCGAAAAAGCGATAAAAAATATAGGTTGCCATTTAAAAAAACACAGTTAGGATCCGCCCAGAAAAAATTGTACACCCTGTGAGACCGCCAATACTTTTATTTAGTTGAGCTCGAGCGATAAATTGATATTATAGAAATTTACATTCCTACCTGTTTCCTAAATAGAGATATTGAACACCGCGCCACTGTTGCAGGACCCTGTATATTTCCTTAGAAAAATAGAAAAACTTTTCGAAAAATTTTGCCACCCTGTATATGCAACCTTCAGAACTAAACCATTAATAGACTCACTTCAATTCCGCTGTCCAATAAAAAAACAATCAATCGTTACATCAGGCACGCAAAACAGATATTATAATAGGATTCGGTTGAAAACAAAATCCCATCGAGAACCATATCGCATCACAACGAATCATTCTGTGTTGCGCAGCAACTTCATTATTACGCCACTTGACCTACCTCACTCGTTAATTCACTGTCTGGCGTCACATAAAAAAAGCAACTGACGAATTTAGGATTATATCGCTGGAACTGTCGCGATATTCTGACATGGAATTCGAAAAAATTGGAATTTTCGATCGATAGACTCGTTTGACGAAAACCTCACCTTAGATCGAGTTTGCGACGCTTGTCGTTTCGAACGAAAATAGTCACGAACTAATTGGGGAAGATAGCGCTATTTTTAGTAGCAGATAAAATTCCACAAGGCAAGAATTATGAAGGTGTTAATGTTTATCAGCTCAAATTCGCATATCAAGTATTTTCGTTTCTAATTTCATTATTTATTTTAACAGATGATAGCAGGATGGAACTGAGATCAATAATTTCATATTGGGAGTCTCATTACGAAAGGGTTATTAATTCAGATGAGGTGCTAAGAGAACACGAACGAAGATCCCATTCAAAAGACTGACGATTCGGATGTGACGTCAGCTTGTCACGGTTTTTTGAAAATGAAAAAATTATGATTTTTGATACTTCGGTTTTTGTTATCCATGAATTATCTTCTTCAAAATGACAAAAGTTCAACCGCGCTCGAGAACGTCAAGGTGACGATTTTATTTTCGAAGTTTGTGAACCTTTCACTCTTTCAAGTCACAGTCAAATGGTCAGATTTTCGAAATGCAATCAAAGATGCTAACCGAATTTTTGGATCACTAAACTATTTAACTGATTATAATGAATACATATTGATCCTAACTGAATACCCAACGTTGCTACTGTCGGAGATACGAAATTGTTTTAATTCCCTTAATAGTTGTTGGAATAATGAATTCAAAATGTCATTTGTATGTTTATGTTTCAGTTATGTGCCAATCTTGATGTTGTTATGGCAATGTTTTAAATAAAAGAGATTGGAAATCAATTGTCTGAGCGAAACTACAAATTTAATTTTTTCCTAGATGTTTCATCATAACTTGCTGGATTTGAATATATTTATAAAAAAGGTTATGGGCTCAGTATACAAAATCTGTATACTTCAATTGCACTGCGAGCAAATGATCCTGATTCCCAGGATTGAGGAAATAAATAAATAATCGCTGATTTTCCTCTTTGCCAAATGCGAAGAACAACTATCCCTCGTTACCTGCTGGACGCTGCTGATTAAAGTGATCACTAGCAGAACATGGAAGTTACCAAGCACAATATATACCATTAGATTTTATGATCTCATAATGGAGATAAAAAGTATTCATTAATTGGAGTTAAGTTACTTGTGTGAAGCAACTGGAAGATATATTACATCAATATGGCATGTTCGTATGATCCAGAAGCAAAGATATGGAAACTATGAGAGAATATTTACGATGTTCGTTGGATATGATGACTTCACAAATTATAGACTTGAAAAATACATATAGACTAGAAAAGCACATATCAGCGCAAATGCGAAGTTTGAAGAAAATAGAAATGTCCAATTTGAAGGAAGTCAAAGTTAAACAGGGTTATTCTTGATCTAACACTTGAAAATGGAGATAAAAAAAGATGAGAATGATCAGGAGAATGAAGAAGATGCAAGAGAGATAAAACAAAGATTAATTCTTGAAATAATGATTGCTGAAATTGAAAATCCCATATTTGAAGAAGCTGTGAACTTAGGACATGCCATGTCCTAAAAATACAAATAATGAATTGAACATAATGGAATCGAAAAATAAAGGCATCCAACCAGAAGGATCGACTTCACCAGTACATCGATAATTGACATGTTCGGGGGCAACTAATGTCGAGTTCTCATCGCAACGGTGACCACATTACTGGGAATATCCAGCCTTCCTCACCCTGCCACTCAACATTGAGAAAGTGAAGACTGTCAGAGAAGCGCTTAAACTCTTCTCCAAGAACAGTTCAGAGGGGCTGACTTCATCGAACAATATGCTCTGCAAACTTCCCGTTATCCACATTTTGCATCTAAAGTTTTTCGAATACAGCCACGACCGTTGCACGAAGATTATCAAGGCTTTGGATTTTGAATTCGACTTGAAGATGAGGGGATGAGGTTGCTGCTTTTACCTAGAGTTCAGCGTCTGGAATCTTACGGAATTTCTCTTTTTAGTTTTTATTGAATTTGATATTTTTTGGTTTTATTGAATTTTTTATTCTTTACATTTTGTTGTATATGATATGCACTGATATTGTTAAAAAAAACAGTTAATTAAACATTCTATTAAAAATACGAGTATAGCCCTTTCAATTTAAGTTAATACACTTAAAAAAAACAATACCCGAACATCAGTTAGTTTTCCTGAAAAGGAACATAATTTTTTGCAAATGAATATACAGTGGAAGTAAAAAATTCAAAGCAAGATTGGTTGCAAAATGATTTTCATAAAAACAGGGCAGATGCTACAAAGGAAAGTTTTCTCCTGTGGTTAGATTTGTTAGATTCGAGTTCTATTGGCATTGCGGCAAAAGAAAATCTCGAATTGGGCCAATTCGTATGGGGGGTTGGAAGAATCAATCTATATTGAGCAGTCACAAAGATTTAAATAGAACATCCAAGAAATATTAGAATTTGAAGTTCAAGAAGTTTATGAAACGATTTAGAATAAATCAAATAAACTCTCTGTATGTTCATCGACAAAATCAATGATTTTAAAATGTTGGGTAAATTTTGACAAAATCGATATTACAATTGGAAATGTAAAGATGTATATAAATACAATAGCACTTGAAGAGTGCAACAGTGATTGAAAAGAATTATGCAACACGAACAACATCAAATTCCAACTCTATCCTAGATCACGTGCTAACAAACAAAAACATAGACTGTCACATAACAATATCTAACCATATAAAACTGATCATAAAATCCTATATATACAACTTGAAACTAACGCTAAATCTCCACAGGTATCACACAAACGTTCTGTACTGAATCAAAATAACTTCAAACAAACAGCTGATAAACAGACATGATATAAATAACTTTGAAAAACTATCAACAGCAATACAGGTTTGTAAAAAAGAAACAAAAACTCAATATGAAATAAAATATAAAGAAGGTAAGGATTAGATTACAAGGGAATTTCTAGAATTAATAAAAGAACGCGATAAATTATAATTAGAAAAAAATAAAACATCCTTTTAATCAGGATATAGTCAGGCAATAACCAAAAAAAGCAATGGAAACTCATCAATAATCTTATTAAAGGCAATAACCAAAGTAATCAGATAACTAATTTGGAAATTGAGGGACAAATTCTTGATAATCCCAAAAATATAGCTGAAAAAA